GCTGTTCGTGTAGAGGCTGCTCGAGTGCCCTCTCGTACTGTCGCTGGTACGAGGTCGTTACCCGCTCTCTCTTTGCACTCTCTCTCGCTCCTTGCTGTTTCCGGCTCTCTCCACACGAAGCATCGGCATACGGTGCATCGATACGTGTATGTGTGTGTTGGAGTGTGGGAAGCGGAATTATTGGCGCGCTCGGTACCGCTTGGCTTGGCTTGGCTTGGCATAGCGGTGCTTGGCATAGCGGTGCTTGGCATTGCGGTGCTTTGGCTGACGCCGCTGCCGCTGCCGACGCCGCCAATGCCTCAAGCCGGCGACTACCGCTGCTGCTGCTGCTGATGTTCTGCTGCTGCTGCTGCTGGCGTTCCTGGGTATGGACCGCCTCCACCCAATCGCCGATCTGGAACTGCTCCTGGCTGGTGAGATTGGGAATGGCCGCCCAGCTGTTGGGGCAGGGCAGGTCGGGGATGGGGCTTGTGGCCGGAGTGGCGGTGATGGTGGTGTCGGCATTTGTGGTCCTCACATACCCGGTAATGGTGGCTGGAGCCGGTCTAGAAATTGGAGGAAGTGCCTCCAACCAGGTGGCGGAGTCGGTGGATTGGCGTCTCAGTATCGCTGCGTTTGCCCCGGCGCCGGTGGCTGCGCTGTCGGCGCTGGCCTCGCCGTCGGCGGCGCTGTCGGAGCTGGCAGTGGAAATGGCTGATTTGGGGCGATCCCTGGCTGTGACGCCGTGTGGTCCTCGTCGTCGTCGTCCTCTTCTGGCAGTGGAACCGCGTGGCATAGCTGCGCTGGATTGGCTTTGGTTGGTTTTGGTAATAGATTTTTTCGACCGACGCGAGTGGAGATTTTGTCAAGTCAGATTGATTCACACAGTTTTTTTTTTCGCTTTTTTGGATTTTTCCAAATTATATACCCGCTTTGGGTTGAGGGCTCTCAGTGCTCCATACAGGGGAGGAACTGAGAGGCTGGGGTGTGAGCCGCCAGCAACCAAGCGCGTTGCTTTATTAATTTCTCTTTGTGGGCAGTATATGTCTTAATTTAGTAGATGTACATTTTTGCTGTTTGTTTTTACAATTTAACTTTAAACGGCACTCAAACACTTTTTACTGGTACATTTAATGGCACAATAATTTACAAACATATAAACTGCAGCAACGTTAAACACTTGTAACCTCGTCTAGGCCCGCACTCAGCAGGGGGGGCAAGGGAAAAAGAGAGATAGAGAGAGATAAACTTTTCGGCACTTTGACGGAGGGACTAAACCACGAACACGACTCGACTCCACAACGTTCACGACACGACTTTTTCTTGTTTGGACAGAGATCCAGACTCGAGACTCGATTCCACGATCGGGGCAAAAGGCTCCAAAAGTATGAATTGTCAAGAGTCAAGTGTGTGTGTGTGCGGTGAGAGTCAAGAAAGTAAAGTAAAATGGGGCCACGCTCAAAAGTATGCTGTCTCCTCCCTTAAATTCTCCCCAACTTAAAATTTGATTTGATCCCCTGTGAGTTTGTCAACTTGATGTTTTGTTGGTTGTTGGTCTTCAGTCCCCTCTACTACCCTTGCCGCCTGCTGAGGGCAGACGACTAGGAATGTATCATGTACATGTGGGCGGGCAGTTTATAGGGAACGTAATGGATATATGCGAAGACTTGCATATTTGGCTCAATTTAGGCCGTAGTGGTGGGGTGTGGCGGCAACAGGTGCTGATTTGAAAGTCGATTACGAAACCGATAATCAATTGTCAGCACCGTTGCCGCCGAAGTTTTATCACAGATTGTAATGATTTTTTTTAGTGGGGTGTCGGAGAACCGCACTAATTACGATAGTAACAATAAGGGGGGGGGAGGAAGGGGTTAAAGAAATGAGATCGAAATGTGCAGAAATGTGCAGTGTTGCAACACGTAGTCAGTTGTGGAAATAAATAAAGAGAAAAGGTAAACAATGCAGGTGCTTTGCGTGGAATACAGAAGGAAATACACTAAATAAAAAGAGACAAGCACTTGCAGAAATAACAATACAGGTAAGTAGAAGACTGGAGTGGAGACGACGGAAAAACAGGTAATAAAAGAGATACTACACTGGAACAAAGACGAGACAAAACAGGTACAATTGATTTACGTTTACAATATTACAATAAACATAACAATTTAAAATAATGTCTATATCTTTTACTATAATTACAGGGAAGACAAGAGGCATCGGCCGGCATAGCAAAACACAATGCTTGTAAGACATTGCGTTGCATACCGGCCGACCCCGTCGTCCCCCCTGGTCGTCGAAATTGGCGTCATCCGGAGTCGTCAGAGGTAGCTGCAATTAGCACCTCGTCGTCGTTGCGGCTGTGGCTGCCCTCTTGGAGGACCAGTGGCACTGGTCCGGCCACCAGCTGGGAGCCAGGAGTAGATGGATGTGAGTGTGTGTGTGTGCGTCGGTAATTGTGGCCCTAGTGTAGAGCGAGTGGCTCTGGTCCGGCCACCAGCTGTGGGCAATGGCGGTCGATGACACGCCTACTCGAACGGCACAGGTCCGGCCGCCCAAGTGCAATGGATGTGTGTGTGTCTGAATGGCTGGCGGTAAGTATTTTCAGAGCTCTTTTTTAATCGTATGTGTGGCTGATGGATTTTTCCTTTTCCAGGTCCATAGGGCACTCTGAATGCCATGGCACTGGATCCGGCCACCAACTAAGGACGATGGCGGACACGACACACATATACACGAGCGGCACAGGTCCGGCCGCCCAAGTGTAATGGATGTTTGTGTGTGTGTGTGTCTGAATGGCAGGCGGTAAGTATTTAATTGCTTTGATGGCGGCAGCGTCCGTTGTTAATTTTTGTTGTGGCATGCGATTGATATGCATTTGTCCTTTAATCCAGTGCAGTGGCAGAGATGTGTCCAATTAGTACACAGCGTTCCAGGATATCTGGTTGTCAAGATGGTACCTCATGTTGCGGGCGTAGGCCTTAATGTCGTCCATGGAGTCGTCATCTGTCCACATCTCATCGTCATCATTTTCTTCATCCGTTTCAGGATCCGTCTCTGGAATGGCGGCTGGCGTTGGCCCTAACGTTTCTTGTGGTGGCTGTGGAGCTGGGGCAGCTGTTGCTGCTGCCATTGTTGGTGGATTTTCCGATGTCACTGGAACTGCTGGAGTTGCCGTCACTGCCTGGGATTGGATGAGCGAGGTGAGTAGTGACATCATCGCTTCCAGCCTCTTTTCCAATCGCGTCATCCTCTGCGTATTCTCCAACAGTGCCTGGCTGCAGGATCCCTCGCAAGATTGGCGTTTCGGCTGCATCTTCTGCCGGGAGCGGTTGTTGGCAAGCTGCTGCTGCTGCTGCTGTCGCTGTTGTTGTTCGCGCTGCGGCTGCTGTTGCGGCTGCTGTAGCTGCTGCTGCTGTTGTGGTGCCTGGGAACGGCTCAATGGCTGCTCTGGACGTCGTCGCCCAGTGCGTGGGCCAGAGGCAGCAGGCGTCTGTTTTTTTGTATGTATTGGCTTTTTTTGATGTTCAAACTTGCTCAGGGCACTTAGTGTGACCTGACGCAATCTTTATTAGTGTTCTTATTACTTATTAGCAACATTTAACATTATTTTTTTTTTTTTCGATGTAATTAGATGCGCGTGCACGCCTACGATGCGCACACTCGCCCGCCAGCTTTGCTACTGGCGGAGTTTATTTCCAGCTTTTCCTATTACCATAACTTCGGCAATTTACATTTAAGCTTAACTTACAACAATGATGTGATTTTTAAAATTGGCGGGCTGTTAACATTAACATTAGCATTACAGTAGCATTACATTAACATTAACATTAAAACATGAAACTAATGGTCTGGCAGCCCTTATGTGTCAATCACAGGATTAACGTACATAAATCAGCAGGTGGTCACAAACAGATAAGTATTGACAATATTGAACAATTATTTACATTTTAATTTAATTTAATTCTATTTTATTTCTATTTGCAGGTACTGGATCATCGTCGTCGTCTGGAGCAGAGTGTTTGGCACGGTGCGCAACCGTACGGCGCTGGATGAGCGCGTGTGTAAGGTGCGGCAGGAGACGTGGACAATGCACAGCGCCGTGCAGAGTGGATGGAGCGATCGCCGTGGTCCTCCAGGTGGCCCGGGATTCGGCCAGATTTGTGTGGCGATGGTTGCCAGCAGCCATGAAGTGCAGGAAAACCACCCCTGCGTGGATTCGGATGCGCCATGTGTGCGGCGCAAGCGTGTCCAAATTGGCATTCATGGCCAACCAGCAGCCGTAATGACTCTCGTCCGCGGAGCCCTTCTGGAGGCCGGATGCCGTGGTGACGCCCATGAGAAAGGATCAGAGGAGCAACTAGGGGTGTCGCCCGGTGTCGCAAGCGTGTTTGTACACGCTTCAGGTGAGTTTTGTGCCGTTTTATATTACTCTGTGGAGGGGATAATTTTGCAAATTTTAATGTCATTTTTACATTTACCAGGTACAACGACAATGTCCACCACAGGAACATTGGACTTGCTGCGGCCGGATTGCGGCGTCCCAGTGAGCGGCGCCTTGCTGCACCAAAGTGCGGAGTCACTGTGGCGGTGTGCGCAATGTGCCGGCCGGCATCATCGTCGTTGTTGTGGTCATCGTCATCTGAGATGGATTGGACATCGGTGATGATTTGGACGTCGTCGTCGTCGTCGTCATCTGAGATGATTTGGACGTCGTCGTCGTCGTCGTCGTCGACCACCCGTTCAAGGCGCCGTCGGACTTGCTCCAGTCCGTGGTCCAGAAGTGCCTCTTGCGGATTGCGTCGATGGCTGTCGTCCAGGGTGCGTGAGCTGCTGCTTGCAGCCCGTGTCTGGCAACGATGATGTGACGTCTGCCGGTTGCTGCTCGCCAGAATTTGCCGTGTCTGCTGCTGAGTCCGCTGCTGCGTCTGCTGCTGCATCTGTTGTTGTGTCTGCTGCTGAGTCCGCTGCTGCGTCTGCTGCTGGGTCCGCTGCTGCGTCTGCTGCTGCATCTGCTGCTGAGTCTGCTGCTGCGTCTGCTGCTGAGTCTGCTGCTGCGTCTGCTGCTGCGTCGCTGGATCGGGATCCCCCTCGTAATCTGGCAGGATTATCCTTTGGACAGAAAGTGGCTGGCCAAAGATAAGAGCCACTATTCTTTCTCGGGGAGTTTGGCCGCTGAGGTATCGTTTTCTGAAGCAATTTATCATCGATTCGTTGAACCTTTCGGGGTTCGGATTGATGATATTTTGTTGTTGGATTCTTCTTAATTGCCTGGCGTCTGATTCCTCCTGTCTCTTTCTTTTCAGCTCCTCCTCTTCGAGACGGACCAGCGTTGGAAGCGATTCCTCGGAGATGGCCGGATCTGGATGTTGATGATGATGGCTGCTCCGATCCTGATTTTGAGGCTGCAGCGGGCGGAAGTGTTGGAGCAGCTGTTGCAGATAACGTGGTCTCTGCAATCGCTGTGGTTCATACGGCTGCAGTAATAGTTTCCGAGCCTCCGGATTGACATGGCAAGCCAAGGAGTTGGCGAAGCGCCCACTTGCCGCATGGAACACTTCGTCGATTGTGTCTAGATTGTGAGTCTGTCTTATCGCATCGTTCCTGGTGAACCTTGTCGCCTTCATTGCCCGTCTAATAATTTTATTTTGTAGGCTTTGCACCCGTCGCAGCTGGGAATCGGATGTAAGTGCGCCCCAAACCGGAAGACCATATTGCCAAATGGGCATGATGAGCTGCTTGATGACTATAGCCTTGGTTTCGCTTGGCAGCCGGCTTTTTGGGCCAGCAAGCCAGTCCAGTTTGGCCGCTCTTGATCGGAGTTTTGTGCAGATCCTCGTGATGTGTGAGCTTAGGGTGAGTTTTTTGTCCAATTTTATGCCCAGATATGTGTGTGATTTGGCAAGTGGCACAGCCTGTCCATTTATAGTCGGCGTTTGCCTTAAGTCCGTTGATCTAATTGTCCTCAGTGTGAATATTACATGTCCGGTTTTTTTCGCATTTATGTTAATGCACCACTTCTTGGCCCATATAGAGAAGTGAGTCAGGTATCTTTGGTTATATTTGACTGCCACATTTGGGATTCCAGATGCGCTCATTATCACCGTGTCGTCGGCATACGTGGACAGCAGCATTGTTTCCCGTTCTGGATGGAAGCCAGTGCTGTCCTGGATGAGGTGAGGCATTGGCATGTCCGAGGCATAGATTGTGTATAGGATTGGCCCAAGTACACTACCCTGCGGGACTCCAGCTGATATTTTTCCGATCCTTGACAGTTCCTCGTCTCCGCAGCTCACACAAAAAGTGCGTTCAGCCAGGTAGCTCTCCAGAATGCAGTACAAATTTAAAGGCAGCAGCTTCATCAACTTGTACAGCAGCCCTTCATGCCATACTCGGTCAAAAGCTTCGGAAATGTCCAGGAAAATTGCCGAGCAAACTTGTTTTTTCTCATACGCCTTGAGGATGTATTGAGTGACTCGAGCCAGCTGCTGTTCAGTGCCATGCTCCCGCCGAAATCCAAATTGGTAATTGGGTACGGCCTTGGCAAAATTCTCCACCTCAAACAGTCTCGCCATCAGCAATTTTTCAAAGATCTTTGAAAGGCCAGATAATAGACTGATTGGCCGGTAGGAACACATGTCTGCTGTGTTTTTGCCCGGTTTTAAAATCATTTTAATCTGGGCATGTTTCCACTGACTTGGAAAGTGGCCCAGCCTGAAAATGGAGTTATATATTAGTATTAAATATAATAGCGCTTTTTTTGGCAAATTTTTAATCAGTTTGTTATTGATTTTGTCTCCCCCAGGTGATTTGGACAGCTCCAATGCATCCACAATCTGCATCAGCTCAGGCAGTGTGACTGGTCTGAAGGGAATCCTGGTTTCCTGGTCCGGTTGTAGCTGCTTCTGCCGTTTTGACTGCTCACGCTCTCTATTGATTGCGGCCCGCTCTTCATCTGAATTGGACAGTATCGGGCTGAATCTCTCCTCCAGGTGAGTAGCAAAGGCATCGGCTGTCTCAGCTGTTGACTTTGTCCACGAGACACTTGCCTTGCCTCCAGTCATAGTTGGCAGCCTCAGTGGCCAGTTTGGCTGCGGCTGTCTTTTGATTGTGCTGGTCAATTTCCAAAGTTTCTGCATTTGATAGCGGTCTTTGTTGTCAATCCCTGTGAACAGTTTGTTGATGTTTTTGTTTTTCAGGATTGTGAGCCCCTTGTTAAGACGATTTTGCGCCGCCCTGTAGTTTCGTCTGGCTTCGATGGTGCGGGTCGCCAGCCAGATCCTCTTGCACTGCTGTTTGATGAAGAGCAGCTCGCTTGTAGCCTCGTCCAGCTTAAGGTGATGGTGCCGGTGATGTTGCTGTGACCGCTGCTGATGATGATGCTGACGCTGACGCTGCTGTGGCCATCTTCGATGTGAGCTTGGGTGCTGCTGTTGATGTTGTGTTGTTGCTGCTGCTGCTGCTACCCGTATATTGTTCAAAAACAAGTCAACGACGTCATCAATGTCCTGCGCTATCCTAATCTCGGTGTTGAGATTGATCAACCGTTCCAGCGACTTTTGGAACAGGCTGATATTGGCACGTGCTGGGAGCAGATGTTTCCTGACTGTGGGCGTAGGATGTCTATGTCCACCGCTGCCGATCGTCAACTCCACCCTGAGCAGCAAGTGATCAGAGTCCAAATCCGAGCTTGAACGGATACTCAGGTGAGTGTCGTTGATTCCTTTGTAGATTCCAAAGTCAATCGCTGATGGTCTCTTTTTTTTGTCGTAGGGATAGTGTGTGGCACCACCGGTGGCCAGCAAATTGCAGCCGTTGTTGGTGTGTACAGCCTCCATCAGTGCTTTCCCTCTGGCGCATCCACGGGCATTTCCCCACCACACATGCTTCGCGTTCCAGTCACCGCATACAAGGAAGCCGGATGCTGTTTCTTCGACGCAGAGTTCTTCAAAATGTCTTATCAATCCAGTAAAATGGGCAGGCGCCCACTTGAATACAGGCGGACAGTAGATCGGCGCAAAAATAATTCCCTTTTTATTTTCCTTTTCAGTGAAGACGATGACAGGTGCACTCTGGATGAATGGCTTTGAAATTGGCTGCAGAGCAGAGTGGGTGACATCGTCCCGGACCAGGATGGCTACTCCCCCTCTGCGATCGTTTGCCGGATTTTGTGCAGTGTAAGTGTGGAATCCGCTCACAGAGACGGCCCTTGTGCGTGTTTCGATGACCATCATTAATTGTATTTTTTCCCTTTTCAGGAAAACTTCGACCTCGTTCAACTTGTTTGTCACACCACACGCGTTCCAGAAGGCAATTTTAAAAGTGTTGCCGTTCTGGCTGACGCTGTGGGTGGAAATAGTCTGTACTGGATTGACTTTTTGGTTTGACAGGCCGTTCGGGACTGGACTAAACATAAAAGGCATCATTGGCGGAGGACAGGGCCATGTCCAAAGAGTTTGGTGAACTGCTATTTGTTGTTTTGCTTGTCTTATTTGTATTGATGTTTATTAATTTAACTATTGCAGAAAATAGACTATCGATTTTGGCCTCAAGTCTTGAGAGAAATTCTGCATTTTCTTTATGGGCATGGGACTGGAAATTTGCGGGGAGAGTTTTTTGCTGTTCTTGTTGCTGCTGGTGGTGGTGCTGCTGCTGTTCATCCCTCAACTTCTGTTGAAACTTGGCCAAATGATTTTCGGCCGGATTGGCTTGAGCACCTCGGCTATACAAGGGCCTGCGGGTGTTGGGCGTTGCTGCTGCTATTGGAGTTGATGCTGGTGCTGCTTTGGCCCCTTGTACAACTCTTGCGCGCTGCTGCCGCTGATGCTGCTGCTGCTGTGGCCGCTTCCTTTGTGATGGATGTTGCTGCTCAACAGTACGGACATATGGCTGCTGCTGTTGCTGTGGTCGGCGATGCTGCTGTTGATGATTGTCCGCTCGTGGCTGTTGCTGCTGCTGCTGCTGCTCCTGCTCAGTAATTCCGCTACGTACTACCCGGCTGTACGACGGCCTGCCGCTGCCGCTGATTGTTGCTGGCTGCTGTTGTTGTTGTTGGCGGCCCTGTCGTTGCGTCTGCTGTGACTGCTGCTGATGATGCTGCTGCTGCTGCTGCGTACGCTGGTGTTTGTTGTGTTTCTGTTGTGGGCGTTGCTGCTCGGTTTGCTGCTGTGGCTGCTGGCGTTGCTGTTGATATTGCTGCTCACCGATGAGCCGGTTTGCCCTTAGCTGGCTGCGAGCCTTTTTGTAGGCGGCACATCCCTTGTAGCAGCTCACGTGCTTGCCGCTACAATTGGCGCATTTAGGATCCTCCTGCCTGGGTTTCCTGCATGCTGTTGTGGGGTGAACTCCTGCGCATTTCATACACTTGTATGGCCGTCTGCAATAGTTCTTAGTATGCCCAAACTCCTGGCACCGATGGCATTGAGCTGGATCGCGTGGCTTGGCTTGTCTCACTATGGAGACGCATTGATTGGCCAGGTTTTTAATGTCGAGTATTGCCTCATGGCCGCCATCCACCTTGGGCTGAATTTCGACCTCAAAAATATTTAGAGGCCTCCCATTAAAACGGTGTTTTAATCCTCGGATAAACCTCGCAGTAAATCCGAGTCGTTCAAGCTCCTCAGAGATCCAGCTGCTGGGCGTGGTGTGGTGTAAGTGTCGCACTATTACACGATAGCCCCTTTCGCTGCGCGGCTGGTGTGTGTGCAATTGGGTGCTGTCTTCAGCTAGGGCGTTCTGGATGGCGTTGTATGTTAAAATGTCGTCGCAGTGGACTCTAAGTCCACTGTTGGCCATCGATTTCGTTGTGAATTTCCCCACATTTGGATTTGTTGTCAATTTATTTATCAGGGGTACAATTGCAGGCACCAGGGGCAGGAAGATTGTTGGGACCTTGGTGCTGCGTAATGACGGTTGGACTGGCGTTATATTTATGCTAATGTCTGCCTGATGTTGCGGCTGATGATTGTCCGTCTCCATCTGTTGGCTTTCAGCCTCTATCCTTTGGGGCTCCCTATGTTGGACCTCCGGAACCGGAACCTCACTATTTGACAGTGAGCTTATTTGCCCAGCATCTGACTCCATCTGCCGGGTCTCATGATGCAGCCTTTTCGCGAATTGGCTCTTGAACATGGGCGTGTCCAGAGTGAGGCAGGTGAAGTCATCGTCATCTGTATCCGTTTCGATCGCCGCGCATCTTCTTTTGAGCGGCGAGCGAAACGAATTTGTAGTCAATTTATCCTTTGCTATAGGGGTAATGGGCAGGGGCGAGGGCATTTCATTGGCCAGTAGCGGGGGAACGCTAATTAGCCATTCCTTTACCAGTTGTGTTCTGGTACTAGGCCTTGTCTGAGTATTATGCTCGTCCGCCTGAGTCAGAGTGGGCAGCAAGCATTTTCTGCTTCTGCTAGAATTATTGCGTTCAGCTGTCGTCAAACTTTGTTGCTGTTGCTGGTCATTGTTTTTCTTTATGCCGTTTACAGTTTCGGCATAAGTCAGTGTGTTTGTCTTTGTTTTGTTATTGGCGTAGGTCAGGCTAGCTTCGTTCTTGTATGTGTTTGTGTTTTGGTTCGGCGGGAGAGAGCAAGCATCTCTCTTTTTGTCATAAGTGTGTGAGTGCATGTTTGGCGGCAAACGCTTTGGGGCTTGATGTGACGAGCCTCCGTTTTGATTGTGCGCCGAGGGTTCGGCTGCCGAGAGAGCGCAAGCGTCGCTCTCTCTGATGCTTGTGTGAGTTGTTTGATTGTTTTTGTTTTCGCTAATGTTTTGGCGCGAAAACATATGGGCATAACATTTGTTCTTGTTTTGTTTATGTGCACTTAAATGCTCTTTGGTAAGAGCGAAAGCGCCGCTATTTTTGGAACCCGTTGCACTTTCGCTGGGAACTATTTTTGTCTGCGTGTTTGTACGTGTATTTGATGGCGGTTTTTCTTGTATGTTGGCGTCTGTTTTTGGTGGGATTGGCGGGTATTTTCTAACATATAAACCCCTGTCCACGAAACGACGCTCGAACTCCAGCACCGTAGCTCCCAAGGAGCTCAGGGTACTCTCTGGCGAGTCCGTCTCCAACTCAGCCAGATCCGCATCCCCCTCTGAGTCGAACATTGGTTCGAAGAGGGAAGCATTTGCGGAGGGGTTCCCTCCCAGGGGCCTGGTCGATATGACGGCAGAACTTATTTGAGTAACGCACTCACCACCCGCTTCGGCTCTTGCCGAGTTGTCCATAGCATCCATAACATCCATTTTGTTGGTCGTCAGATTTGGAGCAAGTGCGTCCATTTGATGGCCTGGTCCAGGTACTCAGTTGCTTGCTTTTCCTTCCTCTTTCCTCAGTTGGGTTTATTGGCTTCACTATTACGGCACGGTTACAGATGATTATATTGCATTATTTGCAATTATTTGGCACATATTGTTTATTTAGTTTCATTTATTTTAGTCCCGGTTTAAACATGTATTTTAATACATTTAAAGTTCCACATAAAACAACAAAAAAACACAAGTCACTTTTTTTTTTTTTTTTCGATGTAATTAGATGCGCGTGCACGCCTACGATGCGCACACTCGCCCGCCAGCTTTGCTACTGGCGGAGTTTATTTCCAGCTTTTCTTATTACCAGTACTTCGGCAATTTACATTTAAGCTTAACTTACAACAATAATGTGATTTTGAATTTTTGCGGGCAATTGACATTAACATTACATTAACATTAACATTAACATCTACAGACATGTTTACATTCTATCAGTATTACAGTCTGGTAGCCCTATTTTGACATTCGCAATTATTGACGTACATTTATACAAACAAAGAGATGAGTATTTGGACAAATTGCAACATTAATGACATTTATAGACTAATTTAATTCTATTTATTTTCTATTTCAGGTACTGGAGGATCATCGTCGTCGTCTGGAGTGGTGTGGATGGCACAGGGCGCATCCGCCTCAGCGCTGGATGTGCACGTGTGTGTGATGCAGCAGATTGTTGCTGCGGCATCAGAATTGGCAGAAGCAGGATCCAGGAGTTGGCGTGAATGGAGATGGAGTTTGGCGAGCGACTCTGGTCCGGCCGCCCACGCCGTCTCTACCTGGAGAAATGGAGATTGACACTGGTCCGGCCAATCGGGGTGCGTTGACCAGTGGAAATGGCCGCAGTGGAGATGGCCGCATATGAGTGCGGATTGGCTGCATCCGAGTGGCTGCTGGTCCGGCCACCCAGGATGCACTGTCGATGTGGATGTAGATGGAGCGCTGGCCATTGTCGTCTGTATTGGCTGGCCTCGTCGTTGGACTGCCGCTGC